CTGACACATAGACCTAGACTGGCCAGGAGATGGAGAATGGTCGAGACGTTGGTCTCCAGTTAACGAGAACACTGTGACACTAGAAGCCAGCCATCTATGTATGGGTACACATTATTCCTTACTGTCTGAAGCCTTTGCCACCACAGCCATGCATTTGGCAAATATCCATGGAGTGGTCTACAGTCTGAATGGGAGTACCCAGAATTGGTAATGGCGGCGTCCCACTGCAAAGTGTAGTTAGTGGCGATGCTGTGGCCTGATGGTCACATGGAAGTAGGCGTCCTGGAGGTCAATGGATGCTAAGCAAATGTCCATGGGGAGCAGGGGGAGAATGGTCTGCAGAGTGACCATGCAAAACTTTGTTCTTATGATGTAGCGGTTGAGGTCTCTTAAATCCATAATGGGATGTTTGCCCCCGTTCTGCTTTGGGACGATGAAGCACCTTGAATAAAACCCTTGGCGATGCGCAGCCTGGGGTACCTTTTCGATGGCTCCGTTCACAACCAGAGTTTGTACTTAATCCAGGAGGAAGCAAGATGGAGGCATGGCCACAAAATACAGATTGTGTGTGTGGGAAGATGGGAATTCTACGGCATACCCCACCAGAACGATGGTTAGGACCCAGATGTCTGAGGTGATTGTGTCCCAATTCCAAAGGTAGGGGCATAACCTGGTGCCCACAGGAGGGGTGATGAGATAGGGTAGGGTAGGTTTGTGGTGCTGGCTCGAGTCAAAGAGGATTTCTGGGCTGTTGTGAAGGCCTCTTGCCAGGCTGGGGCTTGGACTTGGGCTGGTATGGTTGCTTAGGAGGGACAGACTTCTGTCTCCAAATGTCTGGGATCCCTGGCACTTGGGGTAGGTAGTCTTCCATTGCCTAGGTTTAAACTGGTGCTGGGCATGTGGCTGTGTGACCCTGAAGTTCCTTGCGCGCTTCCTGCTGTCATCCACATTGGTCAGAGTTTCATTGGTGGTTGCATGGAACAGGTCTTCACCATCAAAGGGCATATCTTCCACCTTGGCCTGGTTGAAGTGATGTGGCTTACCAAGCATGGTAATGAAAGGCAACGGCTGTGGCTAAAGTTTTGGATGAGCAGGTGATAGTGAGCTTGTGTGCCTTTATTAGTTGCTTTGAGACTCTGCAGATCTCTGCTACTGTGGAGGTGGCTGCTTGCTGAGTGGACGATGGTAGGTTCTGAATTAAAGAGCACAAATTGGTCGGCCAGAAGGAAATTGTAAGCAGCCAGGTAGGAGAGGTAATTGTGCATCTTGGTTATGATGGTTGTTAGAGTATACCTTCCTAGCCCGTGTGTCAATCTTCCTCCATTCCTGATCCGGGGGAGCGGCATGCTGAACCTGCTTAGATTTAGAGGCGAGTGTACAATCACTGAGTGTGGGGGTGGGGGTGGGGGAATAAATTTTTTGCATCCAACTGTTGTATAAGGCTTCGTATCTCTAAGACGTAGTGACGATCGAGGCAGGCTTATCCCATGCTTCCTTCAGGCCCTCTAAGTGCATGGGAAACATTGGCTAGGATGGCTGCTGGAGGCAGGTCAGATTGCACCAGTTTGTGTACCGTATCTGTGACCTTAGGCATGTCACTTGTACCTGCAAGGCTTCTGCATGGGTCAAATAAGTTCCAGGTATGATTTTGAGCCATCAGAGGGTGAAAGGGAGCCCTGATGGACAACTCCGGATATAGGGGATGTGGATAGGCTCGTCCCCATCCAAGGTGTCGGTATTGACACTGGATGGCTCAGTGGGAGACATCTGTATATCCCCCATCAGTGGGGGAAGATCTGGCATGTGGGTCAGACTGACAGACTGCCGAGGGAAGCAGCAAGGAGTGGGCCTCAATCCTAAAGTTGCTGTTGGTATGTCACGGTGAGGGTGAGATGGAGGGTCCACTGAAAGGTCAGTGTGGCAGTGGGGAGTACTTGAATCCGACGGGTGAGTTGTTCATATGGTCTTGGAGTGATGGCACAGAGAGTTATAATACAATGAACCACAAGACTGGAGGAGAAAAAAAATAAAAAATAAAGGAAGACGGAGGAAAGAAGAAAAAAAAGACTGGAGGAGAACAGATGTTACTCCAATTTTCAAAAAAGGGAGGAGGGATGACCCAGGAAATAAAAGGCCAGTCTGTCTGACCTCTGTCCCAGGGAAGATACTGGAGCTGATTTTAAAGAGATCTATCTGCGAGCATCTAAAGAACAACTTGGTGATCCGGGGAAGTCAACACGGATTTGTCCCCAACAGGTCCTGCCAGACCAACTTCATTTCCTTCTTTAATCAAGTTATGAGCTTACCAGATCAAGGGAATGCTGTTGAATGTTGTTTATCTGGATTTCAGTAAAGCTTTTGACAGGGTTCCCCATGATGTTCTGATGGGTAAACCAGAGGACTGTGGACTGGACTCTAGGATAGTTAGGTGGACAGGGAAATGGTTGGAGAACCTCACTAAAAGAGTAGTTGTCAACAGCATTTCATCTGCAAATAACAGGAAGCATGAAACAAGAAACCTGTTTTATAATTGTTATGATGGAGAAAAGGAAAACAACGAAATGACCAAGCCACACACACCACTGAAATAAACCTGTTTCTTTCCTGTTTTCAACAAGCCTACTGTGTATTCCCTTCAAGCCCACAGTCCCCTCAGAACAGGCCAAGTGAATGCCAGGTGGCACAGTGACTCCAGGCATTACCCTCGTTGAGGACTAGTAGACTAAGTGGTCCCAAAAGCCTCAGTTACAAAAAAATGAATGTATTTTTTAAAAAGAAGTTTGGAGGGTATGACATTTAAGTCTCCAGTTTCCAAGTCTGGAGATGGCGTGTTGTCACGCCACCTGCTTAGCAGAGTCAGCAAGGAAGGTATGCCCTCTTCAGTAATTAAAAACAACAACAACAAAACACAGGTCACATTCTTAAACAGCAAGGACTGAAAACTAAAACAAAACTCAGGACTGCTCCAGCACAATACAACCATACTTTGACCTGAGCCTACACAAGCATAGAGCTTCCTCTGCAGTTTTTTTTTAAACAGATGTTCAGTTTGCATTTTATAGCACAGAGAGTATGTTTTATGGCACATTTCATCATAACAAAAAGGAGAATGCTCATATAAGCAGTATTATCCAAAGGTGATAAAATCCCTGTTTAGTCCATATTAGCACATCTCCCTATACCCATGATTTCTCACAGCCTTTTTTTTTGCCAGCAGAAACCTTGATCTGATGCCAAAGAGACCAGTGTCTGCTCAAGAACAATTCGCTTGCATTGTTAAGAAAGTCATCTGGATGTCACAGAAAGAAATACCATCAGTCTTAAACTCTGACTGTTTACATAGCCAAAGCTTAAAAAAAAAAAAACCCTAACAAAAACAGAAGCTACTGCGTCTCTTCCTCAAGATAAGCAAGCTTAAAAGCAAACATTACATCCTACTCCCAGAGACAAACCACTTTTAACAGGCAATGCTGAAGTTATTTCAATTATTCATATGCAATATTCATTGTCTGAGGAGGACTAGTTATTTCTGATGGGGGGAAAATGGAACTGGCAGCTTGCAGAAGGTTATGCAATAACACGGCGTCTCGGCAAGTTCGGAAAATAAAGCTTACAGAAGAAGCCGTTCCCTTTTATGTTGGGCAAAAACTGTAGAATCCCTCATCTCAGCATTTCCCAGCAGCATCCTTTTAAATGTAAACATCCATAAAGCTGTCAGCATCATACAACAAATGGCTAAATAATACATTGGATCAGCAAGCCAGCGCTTGCATTTTCCTCATGCAGCCCCATTACCGAGTTGCGCTAGCTCTGTGTCAGGGAATCAATAGGCTCTGATTTTGCTTTCCAGATGCCAGTTATGATTCTCCTGCTTAATGTAAATAGGGAATGGGCCTGGTTTTCTAAAAACAACAATAACAGAAGTCTTGTGCAAAAACAAACTTTTTTAAAAAGTGAGACTACGTTACTGAATTTCATGCTGTATAGCTAAAAAACAATATGTACAAAGACAAATATGGTCATACAGTCCATAGACATGAAAAGATAGAGCCACAGGAACTGTGTAAAGTGCGCTCAATGTTTCTTTAACGATAGCAATAATGTTATAGATATGAAAATTACAAAAGTGATACTAATACACTCAAATTGTAAATCCAGTTACATATGAAAGAAGATAACAACGACATTCCGGAGACCCACCGTCGTTGTTATCTTCTATCATATGTAACTGGATTTACAATTTGAGTGTATTAGTATCACTTTTGTAATTTTCATATCTATAACATTATTGCTATCGTTAAAGAAACATTGAGCGCACTTTACACAGTTCCTGTGGCTCTATCTTTTCATAGCTAAAAAACAATTGCAACAAGCAAATGAAAACTTCGGTTTTCTGGCTGTGCGGAAGGTGGGGACAGTTCAGCTCCTCTTCTCTAGAGGCCTCTAAGGCCAGACTACCCTCTGCTGCTGTCCACTGCGGCAGTGCCCAGAAAGCCCCAACTCTTCACTGAAAATAAGGAAGGGAAGCTGCCTTGAGCCAAGAGGAAACGTGTGGTATAAATATTTTAATAAATATATAAACAAGCATTGGCCACACACTTCCTGGCTGTGCAAGTCATAACCAGTGAAGGACATGAATGAATCTATCTGTATCTCTATTGTATTATCCACCACATTTGTCTATGGTCTTTTTGCCGTTGGTCTTGTTACACGGGTTTCCTCAAGGACGTGCTCCTTTTCCTTTATGGGACCAAAACCAAACCAAAGGACAAATACAGCAGAAAAGTCTTTTGCTATTTGAATAAATAATAAACAACGTAAAATAAGATTGCCTGGGCATATATAAAAAGTCGTCTAGCCCCATGGTATGTCGGACTGCAGAAACTGGTGCTTTAGAAAGTCTTAATAACTACAAAGAGACTCAAAGAGGACTGGCTTTCTACAGAAAGAGAACAGTGCTAATTTATTACCAGAAACCAGGAAGGTTGTTTAATTCATACCTTAGCAGCAGCTGCTATCTGCTCCAGTGCCAAAGCATGAAGATCTTGATCTCTGCTTTCCACAAGCAGCTTCAGGGATGGCAGGAGAAGGGACTGGTTAAGCAGTTGCAAACAGAGGTCTTTTATACACTGAAAAGAAGAATAAAGAGTGTGTAGTGAGATGTCAGGGGACACCACAGGAACATAACTCACACTGAAGTTCAGCATTATCTTGTATTGAGCAAAATGAAAGTCAAACCTTTTAAAATAAACAATGCCCCCAGTGGAAATTAAGTCTGTTGGAAAGGTTTAAAGAAAAAAAATACTAAGTAAAAACAAGGATGCTTGCTACATTGCAGATAAAGTCAACTGAGAATACCTATTATGTTATCTGAACAGAGAAGAATCAAGCCACTGCTTACTCCTTGTGAGGATAATGTCCTCCCTGCCCTGAGCTCACTAAGGGTGTTTATAACCAGAGAGGGGAACACTTACGTTATCTGAGAAAATTCTGCAGAAGTATTAAAGCAGTAAACCATTAGATTCAAGAAAAAATATTCCTGCCACTGTCCAGATCCATGAACATTCCCCTTGGAAATTGCCCAGTGACTACACCCATTCACTGGCTGCAGTTATCAATTAAATGCACCTTATTCCTTGAAATCACCAGGATTACAAAAATTAAGTGCCAATACTTTTTCTTTAGGGAATGGCACATTAAAATCGCACAGGGTTCAGCTTTAATACCATGGGCAACTCTTTTACATAAAGGCAGGGTATTACAGATAAGAAGCAGGGCAAAACAACATAATAGCAGAACACCAGAAATTCAGTCCAAGATGACCCTGGCCATATAACTCACACTTATAACAGCACCAAGACAGGGTGGGGATAGAGTGAGAGCATGCCCATGCACACAATAAGAGTCCTGTGGGTTTTTTAAAACCTCCTAAACCCCACCTTCTTTATGTAGTTAATTTATAGGCTGTCTTTCCATAATAAATACATCCAAGGCAGCTAACATAATAAACCAAAGCTGTGCAACCTCTTCTCTGCCTCATAACATTTAAATAGGGTCTTTCAGGAGCATGCAGAAGTGAACCAAAATCTACATATACATTCCTAGTATGTCAGAGATAGGATTAAACATAAGAAATTAAACACAGGCCTATTCAGTGAAGACTGGCTGCTCTGCAGACTCCCCAAAAGGAGTTTGCCAAGAAGAAGAAGAAAGGAGGAGGAGGAGGAGATTGGATTTATACCCCACCCTTCACTTGGAGTCTCAGAGCTGCTTACAATCTCCTATCCCTCCCCCTCCCCACAACAGACACCCTGTGAGGTAGATGGGGCTGAGAGAGCTCTGACAGAAACTGCTCTTTTACAAGGACAGCTGTGCCAGAACTATGGCTTGCCCAAGGTCATCCAGCAGCTGCAAGTGGAGAAGTGGGGAATCAAACCCTGTTCTCCCAGATTAGAGTCCGTGCACTTAACCATTACACCAAACTGGCTCTCTATAAAATGGCTACAGAGAGCTCAATCAAACTCAGGAGTACCATTAGGGATGTGTGCTCGGAATAAACTGAACTGAAAAATATCAGATAAATAATAGGTATTTATTGGGTATTTTCTCAGCTGATCACTGAGGGGGCTAGTGATTTGGCTCTCCAAAAATATTTTGGGTGTTTTTGGGGGGGTCGCTGGATAGCTGTAGTTACAGGAATGTATTCTCAGCTTGGAGAAGGCACTTAAAGTTTAAATGCCTTCAGAGTTCACTGGCTGTGGTGGGAAGGTTTAAATGCCTTTGGAGTTCACTCCATGCTGCAGCTTGGAGAAGGCATTTACACTTTAAATGTTTTCGGAGTTCACTCACTGTGGCACAGATTTGCACTGTGGCTTGGAGAAGGCATTTAAAGGGAATGCATCCCTTTAAACACCTTTCCCCCCTTCATTGTAAACAATGGAGGATGGGGGCACCTTCTTCTGGGGCCCATAGAATTGGACCCCCTCGTCCAATCTTTTTGAAACTTTGGGAGGGGGCTTGAGGAGAGAGACCAGTGGCTATGCTGCAAATTTTGTGCCTCTGCGTCAAAAAATAGCCCCGCAAGACCCAGATAACCCCAAATAGATTCTCCATTAGAGCCTATGGGGACCATTGACTATAATGGACCCCATAGGGTATAATGGAGCCAATTGTTTTTGGCAATTCTGAATATTTCCCAAATCCCAATACCATACCAATAATGGGATTCAGGAATATCAGGAAATACCAATATTTTTCAGGTTCAGTATACCAAACCTGAAAAATACCGATTTTTTTGTGCACACCCCTAATCACCACACATCCTGATTGGCCGTTATTGCAGGAAACATCACTATCAGCTGCTTAACTGGGATGAAAGGGTTGTAAGCATGTGTTGGGGGGGGGAAGAATGGGTGTTTTGAGGCTGATTCCTGATTTGTGACTGCAGCTAACTGGCAACCATCATATATGCACAACCCTGAGAAGTGAGACATCTGAATCATCTGTAGGTATATTTCCTCTAGGTATACTTCCCCATGTGCTCTGCTTACAAATCTGTTTCCTTTTTTGCCCCCACCACCTGAAAAATGTTGTTTAGAGTTCTTTCGAAAGACGTTTTATAGTTCTTCTGTCAAACATCCTAAGATGTGGCTTGTTCACTTAACGTTTTGATAGGTTTGCAGACATAAAATGTTAACGGGCACTATAAAACTGCTGTCGCACCCCATGTTGTACATCTTAACAACTTTCAGCACTTATTTATCTAAATGTTGTGCCACAGCAATAAACTGTGCTGTACACTAAGCTGTACACTGAAAATGTGTAGAAATACACAAGGCTGGGGGTTCATTCTGTGCTCTCTAGGGCTTGTATGTACTAAGCTGTACACTGAAAATTTGTAGAAATACACAAGGCTGAGGGTTCATTCTGTGCTCTCTAGGGCTTGTTTTTGTTATGATTTACCAGAAATAAATCATTAAAAGTATAGAAGGATTTAAAAAGTTTAAGACTTCTGATATATAATAAAATGATTATTTTAATCCCACTACCAGCCTTTTTCTTGAGTGTGCAGGTGGCCAGTTTTAGGTCACTGATAAGCAAGCAATAAATAAACTTGAGGCTACATGTACAATCAAGTCCCTAATTCCCCCCCCCCTCACCAGCTAGGCTAGGCAGAGAAGTAGGATCAGTCAGAATGCATCACAATAGAACTAAAAATTGATCCAGTAAAATAATATAAGATTTCTGCAATCCTAGTCCGGTTAACTTGCTTATTAAATGCCTCATACTATCAACTGCATTGACTTACATTCGTGCAATCCATTTTGAGTCCCGGTGAGAAAGATGGACTATAAATAACATACATAACAAATTAAAAATATCAGGCTTCTGATACTTCACCTCAAACTCTAAGGTCTGATTAATATGTTATTAGTGTGGCATGGTTTCTTCTATACTGCGGAAGGAAGGGGAGGGTCATAACTCCATAACTTATGTGTGGAAGGATCCAGGTTCAACCCAGGATACACCAAGGAAAAGGGAAGTTATGTGGAAGGAATGGAAGCAACCTTTGCCCCAGGCCTTGGAAAGCTTCTGCCAGTTGGGAGTATTGAGCCAGCTGAACTGAATGGTCAAAATAAATAAAGCTCCAAAATTACCCTAGTGCATCTTTAAATGTATCATGTTAAAGAACTACCTTGATCCAATTTGGGGGACTCATCGCTCAACAGCAGACCACGTGCCTTGTGTGCAGAAGGACACACGTCTGGTTGCTGGAGCAGATCTGGGAGAGGCCCTTGCTTGAGTTCTTGAAAAACTGTGGCCTTAAAGAGTTTTTAGACCACACAGACAGCAGCTTCGTATGAACATGTGTTTAGTTGCCCCAAGTAATGTTAGAATACTGGGATCATTCACATGTTGGAATAAGAGGTTCACGACAGCATCCCTGAATGCACTGCTGGGAGAACCATCCAAGCTGCCTGGTTTGAAACAGCTGTCACAATCAAAACATGTGTCCGGAGTTCCATGGTTTTTAACCGTAGAGCATTAAGTGTGATTTTTTTCAATAAATCGCCTGAATGCAGTTATTTATGGGGAAGTCTATGAGCAGTGGAAACAGAATTAAACCAATGACAGCTTTTATGAGGAAGGTTCGTCAAACTCTGTTGTCTGACAAGTTCTGCCATCCTAAATTCTGCAACACAGAGGCACACCTGAACACACATCCTCAGCTAGGGTTGCCAAGTCCTCATCTCATGAAGAGCGGGGGAGTCCAGTGCTGGTCTGGGAGTCCATGCGCGCGCAAAGCGCACCGCAATTACGTCACTCGGAAGTGACGCAATCACATCGGGCACATTGGGGGTGGGGCCACAATCACCCGAGGGAAAACCATAGAGTTTTCCCTTGGATGATTGTGGCCCCGCCCCCAATGTGCCCGACGTGATTGCGTCACTTCTGGGTGACGTGCTGACGCTGGGCATGTCGCGTGCTTTGGAGGTGGGGTTCCCCCCGGGGCCCGATCCGCCGCCGGCGGGTAATGGGCCTCTCGGGCGGGGTTCTCCCCGCCTCCCGGGGGGACTTGGCAAGCCTATCCTCAGCTGCACGATCATATGGTAAACTGGGGTGGGTGGGCACTACCAGGAGTTATGGATGACCATATTTGCTCATGGCTAGAGCTGCATTAAGGCCGTTCAGCAGAACTTCTGCAGGAGCCAATGAACCCAGGTTATGCAACAGCAATGCCTAATGGACAAAGGAAGAAATCTGCAGCTGACAACATAAATTCAAAGCTTCATGTTCTTCTGTTTAACCACGGAAGCACAGCACTGAATCCTGTGCAGAGATATCAAAGTCACTTCTTACAAGAATATAGTCAGATTTATACTCACCTCTACAGACAGCATGTGTTTCGTCTCATATAAAGACCTGCAGATCTTTAGAATCTCATTCCCCACATTCTTCTTATGCTCTGGTAGACTTTTCACAAGCATCGCACTTCCCAGTTTCACCCAAGGATTATTACTTGCACATGTGCTAAATTGCAGGCAAAAAAGGATAGTATTTAAAGTACACAGACCTAGCAAACAAGAAGAATTGTGTGTATATCTATATGCATATATCTATAACTGTCTTCTTGTATACACAAAGATGCAAACTTCGACAAACACATAAATCACATTCTGATACCAGAGAAGAAATTAAGACATTTACAGAACTGAAAAGATACTTGTCTTGTAATTATTATTTATTTACTTTATTTATATTCCACCTTTCTCCCCAGTGGGAACCCAAAGCAGCTTACATCATTCTACTTTCCTCGTTTTATCCACAAAACAACTGTGTGAGGTAGGTTAGGCTGAGTGTGTGACTGGCCCAAGGTCACCCAAGCAAGCTTCCATGGCACAGTGAAAATCTGAACCTGGGTCTCCTAGATCCTAGTCCAACCAACTACACTACGCTGGTGAAAAGAAAAGGAAATGTTGGATTTGCTGTTTCCTGTTCTCCAAGAGGGAAGGTCAGCTAGTTATAGGGAAAGGCATTCTCAAGGTAATATTTACCTAGTACCTACCCTTAAGGCCCTAAACAGTATTCCAAAAACGTGTTCTAAATTAAATAGATGAAAGAAACCAAACATTTACATTCATGTGGTATTTGACATGATTTTAGACAGCCATGTGATCTATGACTTTTTTGCTAACAGTCGCAGAGCAAAGTGAAAGAAAGGGTTAGCAGTTGTGATTAATCAGAGTGAAGGCAAGTGTGATGAAGCTGGTAAATATTCAGTAAGCTATAAGAGAGGCAGATTGGCCGGGAATGCCAACAGATAAGCTGAGACTGCTAATGTCAGCTATGACTTAAAAACAGATAGGACACCGATTATGATCAGAGGTAAATGTTAAATACCATATATTAATGATCCCTTTTAAATCCACCATACTAGAACACTGACTGGACGTCTCATGAGCTGTTTAAGGTTGGCATTCATTACATATTATTTAAAGACATAATCTTACTGTGGCTTTAATCTAGGATGGGCTTTTTAAGAAAATACTCAAAGGCTCCAAATACCTGTTGTTAACGCTTTACAGTTTTGAAGGAGATATGTCGTGGATTTAACAAAAATATTTCACTGAGGTCAAATAATATCTACACATAAGCTCACTGAGTGACAGAAGGCAAGAGAGTTTAATAGCACACAGACGTCCCAGGATTGGCCTCCCCCCACATAACTTTCCTTCTTTCCTGTGGCAGCTCAAAATGCCTCTCTCAATCCTGTTCCTAGGGGACAGCAGACACCCCAGGAATCGTATCTGGAGGGTCATTTCAGGCTGCTGAGGGAGGGGGAAGGTAGGAAAACCATGCTCCATAGGCAGAAAACCTTGAACTTGTGGAACCCGGGATTCCAAGGCAGTTTGCAAAAGGGTCCTTACGAATGCAGATCTTCCTCATCTCCCCCTTTTCACCAGTAGCCCCCCATGTTTGCTGAAAAGCTGATGGTTGGTATCAAGGAGGCCCTGTACACAACATGCTGCAAAATTCTGCTGTGCCCAGAATTCTGACTGGAGTGGGCCACAGGGACCATATCAGTCCAGCTGTGACCCAGGCACTCAACAGCATCAGTGAGTCCATCTGGTCAGCAGGGGCATGGCCTGAGGTGGGCCTTACTGCGCTTCCCCCTGGCAGGCCTGCCCCCCCCTTCTATTTAAGGTAGCAAAGCCAGAGAGCTCTGCACAGTTTGTTCCGGGTCTTGACCACGTGCTGCCTCGGCAAACTCTCCTGGCAATCAGCTGTTCTTTGGGAGAATGCTTGATGCAGCTGCAACGTTCAGTGGCCAGTTGTTGGCTGTTTGGAGGGAGCATGCACTGAGGCAGTTGCAGCTGAGCATCTTGTGGGAGTGGCAGCAGCGGCACTGGGGTGACTTGGGGATGGACCACAGGTTGGCAGTACCTCTTCCTTTGCTCCTTCTTCCCTCTTCTGGGCTGCTGGGGTCTCTCTCTCCCCGTTGAAGTGCTGCATTACATCTCCACATTTTTCTAGGGGGGCCCTGCTTCCATAGGCAGGAACATTACCCCCTCCCTCCATCTTTGTTCTACTGCCAAGGTATTCGGGCAGTGCCGCTTACATGTAGCAATGGGGGTTGCCCATTTAAGCTAGGACACATGGCCCCTTACCCTCTAAGAGCTGGCCACTTACACACAGACTGGGGGTGGTCCATTTATACTATGACACATGACCCCTTACCCTCTAGGAGCCGGCTGGCCCAGCGAACACATAGCCAGCCAGCATCCAACCTTCCTGAGGCAAAGACAGAATTAATCATTCCCGGCTGGGAGAGGCCTCCAGGTGTTGGGGGGAGGAGTGCATTTTTATCTCCATTGTGCATCTTCTGGACTCATGTTCTCGTGCGCTCAGCATTCATTGATCATACTTGTGTTTAACTTGTTTCACAGCCCGAGTAATTTTTATTTGCTTTATTAAAATTTAATTTACCAAGGCGCTCCTAGATAATTTAATAAGTAAATATATCTATACAAAACACACAGTAATGTGTGTGGCGTAGTGGTTAAGAGCAGCAGACTCTAATCTGAAGAACTGGGTTTGATTCCCCACTCCTCCACATGCAGCCAGCTGGGTGACCTTGGGTCAGTCACAGTTCTCAAAGAGCTATTCGCTCAAGAGCAGTACTCTCAGAGCTCTCTCAATCCCATCTACCTCACAGGGTGTCTGTTGTGGGGAGAGGAGGGGAATGAGATTGTAAGCCACTCTGAGACTCTGAATGAAGGGCGGGGTATAAATCCAACTCTTTTTCTTAATAATAATAAAGTAAATAAATATTAATAAATTTCTTCACACCATTGTGGTGGTGCTCTGGGCCACCACTGGCCAGTGAATTGATGGTGGTCTGCTTGATCAGTTGTTATGCCTCCAGAAGACTCTGGCTGCTGGTAAGCAGGCAGCTTGCTCTGGAGCAGGCCCTTGACAAAAAGTCCTCACCTATACCACCATGAAGCAAGGTTGCTCCTGCTGCCCGCTCCACTGGGGGTGCTTCTACCAGCACATCTTTGGGTGCTAGAACAGTGTGGCAAGCTAAGACAATCCAGGCCAACAGTGCCAAGCAGGAGACCCTGCTAGGCTCCCCCACCTGCCCCCGTACCTAACAATACAGGAGTATTGAAAGGGATTGATCAAACTCTAGAACGTTTATCTGAGTGGTTTGAGTGGATGGATAACAAGTCGACATCCTTATGTCCAGCCAGCTGCACCTGGGCCCAGGGGGCGGAGGAGAAGGCCTTGTTCTCCAGAAGATCCTGGCTTTTCTAGTGATTCCACCATGGATGTCCCGTGGAGTTGCCCGCCAAGCAAAAGGAAATGCACTAAACATCAAAAAGCTTGTAGATCTGTAAAGGATTGTGACACTTCTAACAGTGAGACGCTTACTGGTGAGTCTTCCTCTGATGAGCATTGCACACATGTGTCAGGGATTTATTGGTCTAAGGGCGTCCATATTCCATATCTACCTCACTGGTTTCTCAGGCACAGGGAGGTAGAGGCCAACCCGGGTGCAGTCTGGGGTTCTGAGCAACCAGACACTAGAAGGGCTTCTGTGGCCTACAGTGATTTTGAGGACCCCCTGGGTACCTACCTTCCCCGTAAAATATGGGAGCACATCCAGCATATCCTGGATGGATATTACGTTGACATTTAAAAAAAAATTAAGCCAAAATGCAATGAGGGCAAATGCAGCCTTCGCCCTGACAGGAAGGGTCTCACAAAAGGGGCTACTGGTTGTTGGGTTATGGGGTGTACATGGGGGTAGTACAATCCATGTACTCTGAACGAAGTTGGCACCTGACTAAGCATATGTTAAATGTATTAAGGGCATGGGCCTTGGTCAGAGAATCTGCTGCAATTGAATATGATGAGGCCTTTAGAAAGCTGGCCTCCTACAGTGCAGTCTCCCACTGGGACCTGTTTAATGACAGACTTTGGGTCCTAAAGGTGAGGTCTCTTATGAGATACCGGTCTAACCTCGCTAGACCCAAGCCTGTGTTTAGACATGACACTCCCCGCTGGGTTTGCTGGGAGTATAACCAAGGAAAATCCAGCAAAGCCAAATGCAAGTTCGATCACAACTGTGACACTTGCTTCAGCCCCCATCCCAGGCCATCCTGCCTGTGCGGGCCATGCAGCCCTTTTGGGGGACTTGATCCTCTAAAAGTGATAGTGGTAAAAAGGAAGGAGGATCAAGTGCCTCCGCTGTTGCAGCCACTGGCTCCACCATACAGTCCTTGCAATGCCCCAAATTGGACCTGGCATACCTCACACCCCTATCTGTCTGCAAGCTCTCATGAACCTATTAGCCACCTATCCCAATAAGGCCACCATAAGGTTCCTCAGGGAGGGCTTTACCACAGATTTCCATATTCCTTTTACCAGCCCCCCGGGGTTTCCACCAACTGCGGCAACCTGCCCTCTGTTGTGGCTTGGAAATTCACAAAAAATGCGTGGCAGGCCGAGTTGCTGGCCCCTTTTTGTCCTCTCCCCTAACTAATTTTAGGGTTTCCCCCCTTTTGTCCTCTCCACTAACTAATTTGAGGGTTTCCCCACTGGGGACCATCCCTAGGAAGGCCCCTGGTGACTTTCACCTCATCCATCACCTATCATATCCAAAGGGCTCTTCCATTAATAATGCTATTCCCCCAGAGTCCTGCTCCATTAAATATGCCTCATTTGATAATGTGGTTTGTCTGATCCAGTCCTGCAGCTGCGGTGTGCTCATGGCCAAGTGTGATATCCAGTCCGTCTTCCAACTCTTGTCAGTCCACCAATGGGCTGCTTGGTTGCTTGTGCTGCCTTCGAAAACTTTAGCACCTTCCTTAAGAGCTGGACTGCATGCCTGAATATTACACACTATTTGAATGATTTGCTATTTGTGGACCCTGCTGAGACTGATAAGTGACCATCTCGCCTATCTGCATTTCAATGATCAGCATCTGAGCTGGGGGCCCAATCATACAGCTTACATATTTGGG